CTAAATTGATTTGTGATTGACCCAAATTAATTAAATTTACATTTGTTGCTATCAATTTCCAATCTATTTGCTCATTTACGACATCATTTGTTGACCACTTGTCTTGTGAATATGTTTCTGAGTTAGTTGGTCGTTTTCTCTTTTTTTCCTCCATATTACTATTTTCTAAGAGCTCCATTTTTTCGAACTTGACGAATCAGAAAAGTCAGTATTAGAAGATGCTGAGAGTACGCCTGTTTTTTAATTAATGACTTTTTGTTAATTCCGGAATTTAAATAGGCGATAATGCGGATTGATGTTAAAAATGTTCATGTACATGTACATGTATCTCTATTTAACATACTGTATCCTCGTGATAAATGTACATGTAAACTACCGCTACATGTCAATAGATGCACGTCTGGGTTCATTATGCATATCGCCGCTCTGAATAAAATTTTCCTTCTGAAGATAATAGTGATATTGCTTCTTAAAAAAGTTAAAAAAGATATATCGCTATTCTTTTGCGCTAGTTAAAAAAAATATCTGGCATACAATTTGTTAAAATAATTTCATTTTTAGAGTAATCAATCAATATATATCTACTAAGAAATTCCTAACAAACTTTTGTACATACATGTACATGTATACACATATAGCATTAAATAATCTAATTCAAACGCTGTAATTAGTTTCCGATGTAAGGGAAATCTCAACCGGATAAAATATATTATTATCTCTAATTGCGTGTATAGTTTTCTCTTAACATTAAATTCTCATTTGTATGCATTCATGTATTTTATAATTTGATTATGTTGCGTAATTTTACATATGTTCAATTATAGCAACATTAAAAATTGTTAAATTTCGATACAGTTTTTTTCACGTTTTAAATCTAATATTCGATCATTCTTTTCTTACATAGAGTGTAAAAAAAGTTTCAGGCGTTATACTAATGTTTAGAGTCTGCGGCTCGGCAGTTAAAGCAGTTTGTTACATAACAATATTTAAACACACAACGTATTTCTTGAGATCTCTTTTTAGTCATTAATCTATCTTATAAATTTCTTTGGCATTTGATGTTATTTACTTTTCGTTTAACTTAATAAAAAAATAAGTTAATAAATACCAAATATTTGAAGTCGAGTGTGCATGTATTACAAAGTACTTTATTTTGTTAAATTTTGTTTGGTTAGTCTTGTAACTTTTTCCTTTGACTTGACGTAGAATTATTTGGATTACTTCTAATAACGATAAAGAGCCACATTGTTACTTTATTGTTTAATTTTTAAATAGCGGTGCAAGAATCTTTGTATTAAGTAAATTGCATTGTTCGGTTATATCAGTAAAATCAAACGCAAAAATGACAAATATATTTGAAACTGCAACAAAAGAAATGATATCTTAAAAATTTTCATACTACCACTCAGGCATTTGAGTAATATATAATTTTTTCTAATTAATTTCTTTTTTTTTGATAACGCGCAATTTAAATAAATTATATATAAACTTTAAGCTTTTAACATAAGCACCACAATTTATTTCGAAAGTTTTATTAGATTACTATTTTTAGCTGGTTTCAAGGATTTTTATTTTTACAGTCCGCGCGGAAAATAATGGCTTTAATGTTTTTATTATATATATTTAGCAAAGATTAACGTGAAAAAATACATCTCTATTTCGAAATACTGGGTAGAATTTTGATAATTGTGAGACGGCAGCAATCTGACGCAAAACTTTACTACCGTAAGACCACGAATAACGCACATCTGCGCGTTATTTTGAGTACGCCCATGTGCGTTAAAAGGTGGATTTTCTGTCAAACCTGATTTTTGAGTTAACTCTTATATGCATTATACATAAAAATTATATAAATATGCTTCTTTTGAAAGTATGAGCGTTTTTCATTTTTCTTGATTTTATGTTTTTTACTTATTCTATTTATTTTTTCATTGTATTTCTGTTGCTTGCCTTTAAATTCCTCTTTCTTGTATCACGCGAAGAACATCCATAATAAAAATGTGAGCGTTATTTTTGTTTGTTTCGCGTGCAAGTTTTTTGCTTTATTTACAAGTGAACATGAGCACAAAACGAGTTATACTAGCGCATTTTAACTTAAGGTAATTTCATATACACATTCAACCATCATGCTTCTTTATATTACAAAATCGATCGGAATCGGGTTCAAGAATAATGACAACAAAAAAAAGAGTTCGAGACAGTATCCAGCACGAATTTATATTAAAAGAATGCAATTTATCAAGTTTATCAGTGTTATATAGTGGTTGCTCGTTAATTTCGGACACCCATGGAGGATGTGATTTTAGGAATAACGCCCATGTTCGTTATTTCGCAATTTTACGGCAAGTCAACGTCTCTTTGTCCATTAATAAAAATGTTAGCTTAAAGAACTGTATTAGGAACAAAAAGTTTTATTTTATAAACTAAAAAATAGTGAAAGCAATATTGAAGCAACATTACTAGTAATAGTTCTTATGATTTTTTAAAATATTAAATTGTATTCAAACCTATATTGACATGGAAGGAAAATGCATCATGTGTTGATTTTTAAAAGCATAATACTGAGAAAAATTTATGTATAATGAAGAGATTATGTCTTGAAACAAAAAGTGCGGTTGGCTAAATACAATAGTATTGAGCTTTTAACTATCATGTGAATATCAAGTCTACATTTGCAATTCCAAAGAAAATATAGTCAGTCCTCTTTACTATATATTCGAGGTTGGATGATTACGATAATTGTAATACAAACCCCATAAAAAAGACAAACACGTAATCCATGGAAATTACAGCCTGGCAAGCACGTAAAACGTGACAAATTTTATATATAATAGCATATTTCAGACATGATTTTTTCATTCAGAAATGATATGAATTTGATAATTTTGTGTTCTGTGTAAAAAAACCGTGCCCAAAACATGTTTATGTACAGTAGCAGTCAAAAGTATCTAAACATCTGTAACTTAATTATCTTGAAATTTCAAATTTAAATAATATAATATAAATCTAAGCTTTTGTTATAATTTTATAATTATAATAAAATTTAAATTTTAAAATTAATTTTTTATTTAAATAAAAAATATCAATCATAATACAATGAAAATAATTATATTAATAGTTTTTTACAAATTTAAAATTAATATGTTAAAATTTAAATAGTTTTATAGGATAAAAATAAAATTTAATATAATTTAATAAGATACAGTCGTCTGGAGCTGTAAATTAACTTTTAAATTTTATTATATAATAGTATATAAAAAAATAATTGAATATCAAAATTTAAATTTAATTTTTGAACGATAGTCTTATTAAATTATGTCAAATTTTTAGTTATTAATATAAAAATACTTGACTGCTACTATATATAAAATTTGCCAAGTTTTAGATACATGCTATTCAGATATTGATATCATATCTAAATTCATATTGAAATAAATAATATTACTCATTAAATTATGTTTATAATAAATTATCTTCTTATTAAAGTTATCATTTACTAATGTCATGAGTATTTGTAATATTCTCAGATTTTAGATTTAATATGAACGAATAAATTAAAACTTTATAATTTCTAGCATGAAAATATTATCACAAGTCACAATTTTCTATATCAAATTAAGTTCTAATAGTTATAATAAATATTAATGAAATATTACAAATAAAAACTCTTTGTAAGAATTATTTTAACTATATTCATCTTCACAAATATCACGTGACAGAAGAAATTATAGACACTTTATTAACAATTAACTATATGTAATAGCTATTATTTGATAGCTTGTTGACCTACACTAATTTTAATATATGTCTGAATGTTTAGTATCTTATTTTTGGTTTGTTTCTTATAAACCTTCTTGGAAAGTTTCCTTGCATTTTTTTCAATTCTGTGTAAAATTTAGAAATATTTGTTGTATTCAGACCAGTTTTTTGACATAATGTTCTAATTTATTTCATAAATGCTCAATTAATTTGTGATCTAGTGATGTTGCGGGTCTTTTCTGAGAGAACAGCATATTATTTGTTACATGAGCATCCAGTAGTTCAATACACGTGATTTTTATTACCCATAAAGTCAAAGTAAATTAAATCGTGTTGTAACCGATCAATTTTTAAATAATTGGTGCATTTATTCAATTCACTTGAGTTTACCATCGTTTGACAAAAACAAATTCGAAAATTCAAGAAAATTACTCCCAACATAGCGATTGTTATAATATAATATATCAAACAATATCGGATAATTATTTAGTTAATAAATCATCATAAGAGGTTTCAAGAGAGATGATTCAAAGATATCTCCTTCGTCTTGACTATAAGAATCACCTACGTTAACAAGCGGAAAAGAGTCAAATAGGCCCAAAAATACTTTAATGATGATTGATCACGAACTTTGGTTTCAGGATGAAGCGTCATTTTAAATATTCAGAAATACAATTATTCAATGGTATTTAGCATAGTCGGCCATCCCAAGAACTAACAAAAAATTCATGCGTGGAGTGTATTGTCTTTATTACTTCATTGGAAAATGAACGTGAATTTTACGTTGAAACCTGCAAGAACAACTCCCCGAACTCGAAGAAATGATGGAAGACGACTAGCGGCTTCAACGGTACAACGATCCGAAGCACAAGTCATAAAGTTGTAATCGATAGCTCTATTGAGAGAAAAGTCCGGCGCGGTTTTACTTGATTTTAAATCGAATCAATGAAGACGAGATGTGAGGCAACAATAATTCGTGCACAAGGAAAAAATATAAATCTCTTGATGTACTTTAAATAAATTATTGTTATGTTAATTAGAACAGTGGTAGTTAATAAAAGCTGATTAAATTTTCACTTAATTTTTATTTCATTAAATTCTTCATAAAGAATCATTTCAAACATATGTTGATGGCGGATTACATGTATTTATAATTGCCTATCGCACGAAAAAGTCATCACATTTTGGTTTTAAATTGCATCCAATATTGATTTTTAGAAAAGGCACCACTAAAAATCAAGCTATTCATCTAAATCAAGTGTCTCATAAAACCGTTTTTTCGGATCCTCCAATGCCACAGAGGATTTACTTGCTTGTGTCGAGTAAGTTCCCTTTTTCAAGTCATCTGCGTATTCGTATAGCTGCCTCATAAAAGCGGGATTAGGCTGGCATTTCCAAGAATGCAACGTCTTTATTTTCATTAATTCATCGTCAATGTTCCATCGTCCAATCGACGCTAAATATGCCAAGATTATTGTCACTGATCTGCTTATGCCTGCATAACAATGTACATAGACTCTTTCGTGTTCGTCTCGTGCCATATTTATGAATTTTGCACAGATCTGTCATTCAAATGGATAAATGTGCGTAAAAAATAAACATTGACATCAAAATGCATTTGCTAGCTACTTACATTAAAATACTGTCGGATATCAACCTTGCAATTATCGTCAATAACAATACGTAAATACCGAAAAGGTTCAATTCCTGGATACTCAACTAACTGCTCTTCTCTCTCAAAAAAATTATCTAAGCATGAGAGATTTAGTATGTATCGGATTCCACAGTTCTTGAGCCGTAAGGGTGATGCTGCTGTTAATGCGCCTCCTAGATACAAAAAATCTGTGATTATTTCAAATGGGCCATGGAAATCTTCTGGATCGGCGCGCTTTGCTTCTTTTATAATTTCTCTGAAACTGTATCCCTTGCAGAACTATTCGGCATTATTATTATACTTATTAATTTTAAAAAAAGGATTTAAGCGTTTTTGCTCTCAACTTTAATTACCCATCCTAGTTCCTGGTATTGAAACATATCTTTAGTTTCTTCTTGAAATTTCTCCCATGTAGTTTTCTCATTGAGAGAAATTGCCTTAATGACTGATTTAGTTTCTTCACCCAATTGTGAGTTGACCGATAATAAGTCATTAAAGGTAGACATAATTGTGCCTTCACTTTTTTAAAAATTTAATTCGCAGTAAGCAAGCTAATTACCTGTATATGTACATGTTTATCAGCCAATAATGTTATTTCCCGCAACTGTGATAACGACACATGTAACACAAAAGAATACATAATGGTAACGATAAATATAGAACATGCCTCCCACTTTTTTGTAACCCCCATCTGAACTCCGTATTTCCAAAAACGGAGTTTTGAAACAAACTCGCCGCTTTTCGTACAACTGAAAAGAAAAATTGAATTTTTATAAAATAGAAATACGAATTTCTTTTGGATAGTTGGTAGTTCCAAAAACGTTAATGATTCACAAAGGATGATATCAGTATGATTTATTTATAAAAGGAGCTTGAAAATCTGCGAATCTACGTGTTTATCATACAACACCATCACTGCTATAGAATTTCCTAATTCATTTATAAATTCACCATCTGTCCATTTTGGCCAGCAAGTATACATTGAGATGGAACCACCACATTCTGCAACGTTATTATCGATAGCACACTTAAAATTAGAACACACAAACCGCATATTTCTACGAAAGCCGAAAACAATTCCCGAAGAACTATGCAAAATATTTTTCACATCTCTCGAATTATACGAAAGCGAGAGCAAAATTGTTCAAAATATCCGTGACTTTATTAAATTAAACCAGAATGTATCGTCCACCAATAAACTAATTGAAACTATAAAAAAATGTGCAAAGACAAAATACAAATATCGACCGATACTGGCAATCTTTTATCAATACCGCATCTGTGTTGACGAGTTCAATGAAGCTGAAGCTTTCTATTGGTATGATATGTGGAATCAGGCGAAGCAAGACTCCCATTCACAGAATGCACTGGGGGTGTGCTATCGAGATGCGATTGGAACTAGACAGAATGTTTATTTGGCGTTCCTATATTTTCAGAAAGCTGCGGAATCTAGAAACCCTAAAGCGCAATTGAATTTGGCGAATTGTTATCGTAATGCTCAAGGGACATTACTAGATTTATCGAAATATCTTCATTGGTGTGAGAAATCTGCGAAATCCGGGTATTCTGAAGGTCAATTCCAACTCGCCAATTTTCATCGGGACGATGTATCAACACCTAATCATTACGCGAAAGCTTTTTATTGGTACGAAAGAGCCGCGAAACAAGGTCATATAAAGGCACTAGTTCAACTTGGATTATGTTACTCATCAAAACAATGCGTCGAAATAAATCACGAAAAAGCATTAACCTGCTACAAAATATCTGCAGAATCTCATGACTCCGAAGCGCAAGTCCTTCTTGCAAAAGCATACAATAGCGGAAAAGGAACGTTTCGGGATGAGAAATCAGCTTTCAAGTGGTATCGAAAAGCTGCCGACGCCGGGAATTTGACCGGTATTTATCACGTTGGACATTGCTATCATACAGGGGCTGGCACTCGTCGAGATATCAATCAGGCATTTCGATGTTTTCGAAAATCGGTTGAAGAAGGCGAAAAAGAGGAGTGGCTTGCTTTTGGACAATATGTGATGGGAAATTGTTTTCATTACGGTTGGGGAACGAAAAAAGATTTACATTTAGCTGCTAAGTGGTATCGATTGGCTATTGAAAATGGCAATAAGTATGCTAGGAAACAGTTGTGGCTTGTTTTTACGAAACAGTAACGACAAAAAATTTCTAGAGATCGATATATTCATGTGACAGTAGTTACATAATAAATGAACGATTTCTAACACGTAATTCGCAACTTTACATATTGTACTGTACATTATCACATTGATTAGATTATTGTAAAATAGTAAACAGTATTTGTAATCGTAATGTCATAACAATTAATACCCCGATATTTTATCGTTAATTAACAAAAAGACCATTTATATTATCATTACGTATTAGTATATTGATTAATACGCTAGATAATTTTAGACGAAGGGTGATTTTAACAATAACGATAAATGGTACATGTAACACTTTCAGATTAACCATTCTCCTTTTTTTTTATCATCCCAACACGGGGTAAGTTTTTATACGTAGTTTGAGACTTATTCTTTATATGTCACGAAAAATTGTACAATAAACTGGTTCTAAACGAACTAACACAAAAAATTCCAAGACCAATCACAACTTTTTTATAAAGTTTAAATTACGTGTATCGGTAACAAAAAGATCGTCAATTTCATAGTCTCATAAGACTATATTTTATTCTTTTATTTTCATAGATCATAATTTATTAATTTGAAATTTCATAATTAAATATCATATTTTAGTATTAGATATCTATCTTTAATATGAGTTATTTTTGTTGTTACATTTTCAACCCTTTTTGACACTGTCTTGACCTCTTCTGATCCTGTCTTAACATTATTTTACCTTTCTGTCATTGTCTTGACACTGTTTTGACAATTTTTTTACATTATAACACCATTATTGACACAGTTTTTGTATTGTATTTGCGCTGTAAATAATTAGTATATACATATTGATCTTTTTTTGAAAAATAAAGTATTAAATAATTAATACAATATTAAGTAATATCAAGTTTTTTCTTGTACATATAACTTCTTAAGTATATAGTTGATTAATCTGAACTCTAAACTGAAGGATTGCTATAGTTAATTAATCTGAATTATAAACTAATAAGTTCTAAATAAATATATTCTGGTATGGTTTTTTGAGTTATTGAGTTTATAAATTAAAGTTAAGCATTCTAACTATAAATAGTGTAATTCTGGTATTTGATTTGTTATTCTAATTTTTGAGTTCAGTTTATTCTGAGTTAAGGTAAAGTAGCTTTGTTATAAAATAGTGTAATTTAGTTTTGTATTTATATTGCTAATTTTTCGTAATTGAGGTCGTAAAATGTTTTGGTGGTTATATGTTAGATCCGCAGAATCTGTCATTCTCATGAGTGGAACCCGAAGATAATATGAATCCTATTATTCTTCGGATTAGTATCTCTATGTTGTTTGTAAATGATTTATTCAAAACGATTTGACTTCTTTGCCAACATTAAATTTCCGGTCAGCAGTATTTTGATAATTCTTTGAGTGGTAAAGCAGTTTTATTTTCATAATATACACCTGGGGAAGTGGTTAGATCCAAAAGTCTCTGTCTCTCTCTAATAACAACCTGATGGGATCAGACATTTTTTGAATAGAGTCGGGAAGTAGAGGATATATTTGAAAGAAACGAGTCAATGGTAGACAATTTTTAAATGTCGATTTAAGTTGCATAAATTCGTTGTTCATTTTCCGTTGGAACATCAGATTAATTTCGTCTGTATCTGTAGCTTGAAAAATTGCCCTTTTAACCATCTTTTCGATTTCTTTTAAATTAGATTATCACGTTTGAGATCTGATTCATGTAGCTTCGTGAAATCATGGATTTTAACATCTACAAAATCTGTGAAAGAATTATGCTCAAATGCTATTTGGTTAATTAAGGCAAACCTTTCTGTCATAGATTTAGAAGGGTGCTTAGAAGAAAAATTTTGATATATTCAATAAGATCCACTCATTAGCTGATAAATTCAAGAGTGTCAAAATACCATGGTATTGCAATTCGATTTTCCATTATAAAATATATCTATTGAATTTTAACCAAATAATTTTCGTATCTTCATTTCTTAACATGAAATTTCAGTTTCTTAAAGCTAATCATATTCGGTTCTCATTTCATCCAACCCAAGCATCAGAAAGTGCTATTGCAAAATATTGTAACTGCGCTACTAAATTGCTGAATGAGCAGAAAAAGTTTATCGGATATTTGATTTTCTTTAACAATAATTAAGACGTCACAATATTTGGGATTTTTATAAAATTCATCGAATCTGTCTGTCTATGATAATAATAACAAGTTTAGGCGTCATTTTTACAATTTTGTATTGTCATGTTAGTGCTCAAATATCATTATTAATACATAACAGCAATAATGATTACTTGTACTAATTTTAAATTAAATGTAATATTTAAACAAGATTAAGATTATGAAAGACTGGAGAGTTTTGTATCATTCATAATGATAAAATTCTATGATGTATAATTTGACATAAAATCAATAACTTATCGTTATTATTATGTCTATTCTAACTATTGAAACTCAAAGATGAATAGAGTTAGCACACTGAGAAATTAAATTGAAGTTTGCAAGATAAGAGAGTTTAATTGGATTACTAAAGAAATTGTGCCAGTAACTATGATTACTGCATTCTTATTAGTTGCTGAGAAAAATTTGCGTATTTTCATTGGCTGCTGAATGATAATCAACAGAAACTTCAATTAAAATAACACATAACAATTCTTAATTTTCCAAATCTTGCTAGCTACTATGCACGAAACGAACTAGATTTTAAACAACATCATTTATTAATTAAATACAGAATGATTTCTCTAATAATTTTTTCGAAATCCAAAAATGATTCTTAAAAATATTGTTACTGGTAAGATTAGTACAAATATGCATAAAATTTGTTTATTTAAGCTGCAAAGAAAAGTTATAAGAGGTGCAATATGAAATCTATAAGCTGAAAATGAATTATAAAATAAGAAAATCTCCAAGATTTTCTATTCTTATTACTATTATAATAGCAGAAAAATCTAAGATATTACATTACAAACAAGAGAACAAAAGAAAACAAAGAAAAACAGAAATATGAAACAAAAAGATGAGAGAAGAATCAGGATAAAGAAAAGAAATCTAATTGAAGAAAAGAAGAAAACTCAAAAAAAATTGACGCCAAATGGATGATTACTACCCGATGATAACTGTGCCAAAGTGAAGCCAGCATTTCATCTTAAAGCGCTATCGATTAGAAATACGAAAAATGTGCAGGCCTAAATTTTTTTTAATACTATTTTGGAGGACGAGAGAATTTTAGAGGTGCGAGAGATCAATATTATCTGATATTCAATGAAAATGATCTCAGTGTTAATATTATCACTAAATTCTTCTTTTTCCTCGCTTTCTAGCCTATTGCCTATTACATCGCTATGCATAGCTTCAATGGCTATGGTTTTTTCCGTGGGTCTTCTTATTAGACATCTACAGCAGAAAGATCAAGATAATATACATGTATAAGCATACAAGTTAAAAAAATATCTAAAGTGAAATCGTCATTATTTTTGTATTGAGAAAACGAGAGGCGGCGCCGGTTAAACTAGAAGTGGCGGACGTTTAAACGAGAAAAGTTATGCCTGCCACAGCCTTGAACTCCTCGCAAAACGAGTTTCTCTCTATTTCATACTTATCTATCCATAAACCAGTCTGATTTGTGGTGCTAACTAGTCAATGCTCTACAATCACCACTTCTAATATAAAATTTTTTTTACAGTTGTCTGCTTCCAGATACATTAATATAATATATATTATTTGGTCTTGATCTTATCAAAGATGTTAGGTTATGACAGTTCACACTCTGTACCTGTTCAAAAATATTGTTCAAAATAATAAATTATTTCCAAATACATGTATATGTAGACCAGATCTTATCTTACCGGAAGTAGATAAAAATAAATTGGAATAATCCAAAAAAGTTTCAAATTTATTTTTTTCACTAATTTTATTATTCGAAATGCTTTGATACTTTGAGCGCTAAGTTATTCGGAGAAATGCAAGCGAAAAATTTTTGCTACATTGTGCATGTACGTGTAAAACGCATGTATTTACCCATCAATTCATTTTAGGTGACTGAGTCGAAACTAGCCATTGCATTTTTTTAAGTTTACATACACATGTACTGTATTTATATTTGTAGTTCTGTATTGTCAAAAACAGCATTTCATAAGCAAAAGTTAGGTTCTCAAGCAATTGTTCAACATAGTTGTTGTATCAGAATTTTTGTTGGCTGAACTTAATTGAAATTTTCATTCGAGTTTTATAAAACCCAGAATGTAATTTTATACAAAAACTTTTAAATTGACAAATACATGTCCGATGATGTCATATTTTATTAAAATCACCATTATATATTCATCATTGTGAAAACACGATGGTAGTTGTACCATTTATTAGTCTGAAGAAGTAATATTATCGTTATTCTTTGTTGTTACTTGGAAATTTTTTATCCTTTCAAACTTTTTTGAACAAATGTCTGTAAACACCAATCATCCCATTAAATCGGCAAACCGTCCAAACAATCAGGTTGGAGCCTTTTGTCGCGTTCACCGACCACCTAACAGCTATCCGAGTCATCATACAGTAAATCCACTTTCTCAAAGATTTACGATATTCGCTCAATGACGACGGATATTTGTTACATATTCCGGATAAATTTCGTAATAGCGATAACTTAAAAAGCGGCAAGATAATCACATTTCAATCATTTGTAGCTTCATCAAAATGATGGGAGAGCTTCTGATATTGTTATTACCGCAATACAGTTTTCCGGATCGCAAAAAGATATCCGATTCGTAATAAATGCTCTTTTTCTTGAAATTTTGGTTCGGAAACATAGATCCGAGTGATAATGTTATCAAAAGTTAACAGATTTCATAGATAGACTTTAAGTAATCAAAGAATAAATATCAATAAATCAAGCATTGTAGTGTCCAAAGATGTTCTCAGTAAGCCCTAAATAATTATAAAAAAATAAATATTTTTTTGCTTGAGAAAAAAATTTTCGTTCACTTGAGAACATGATTTTAAATTTGAATTTTATACACCGATA